TATCAAAACTGTAGCACTGTCATGTGTTTATTAAATGGAATCAGTTGGAGGATTTTGACAGCATTTAAAGGAATTACAAGTTTATGTTTGGTTTTATTTATTGCGACACAAGATAACAACAAAAACTACCAGAGGAAAAAAAAAAACCCACAGAGACGTCAATTCATCATCATCGTTGTGAAACTCGTTTGAATAATTAAGAATAAAAACGGAATATTTCACATGGCAGGTTGTAAACACAAAGTGATTATTAGTTTGATGATCAAAGTTTGCAGCTAAAAGAGAAACAGAAAATCCAACAGAAACTTATAACATTGCCTTCAATGAATTAAAAATATTCATAACATAAAAATGTTGACTTAAAACAATGATAAAGAAGACTTCTGTCTGTTCATTAGCAGAACAAGATACAAATGCCACTGCTAAAGAAGCTGGGGCCTTCACAGAATATACATGTATATATAAACATATACATAGATTGAACCCAGAGATTTACATATGATTACCAAAAACACTTTACACTTTGCTAAATGCCAGAAAAATAAGAAAAGTTATCTTTGAATTAGTAAGTGTTTCACCAGCTCTGTCAGGAGGAACGGGTCAAAAGTTCAGCAAACTACAGGAAACGTTTGACTCAAGTCATACAGATTAAAAAGTAACTGCATAAAATATCAGGGAAATGTTTGTAAAGAGCTGCAGCTTCAGAGGCTCTGCAGGTGATGATGGTGATGAAGAATGTCCTGCTTGTTACTCAAGCTCCGCCTCATCTGTTCAGAAAACAGCAGCAGGCGTTAATCAAAGGAAGGATATATAAAAACACATCAAACTTAAGTGTGAAGTAGAGCAGAGTTTTTATTTTCTAGTTCTGACAAAATGAATATTAATGATTTGATCAACTTTTACTGATCAAACCAGAAGGTAGACATCATGGTTAGCCAGGATGGGTGGAGGCCTGTAGGAGCTAAATAAAATAATTGTAGTGTAAACTTAGAAACACACGCCTCATTTTAATATAATAAATGGTTTATTATTGTGAATATTCCAATTTGTAGAAGCAGAAAAAGCCATTAGCTGAGCCACTTTCGACATTTACAATGTAATAACCACTGTATATACTTACTGGAGACACAGCCATGAGTAAAAGAGTCACTTTTTTCAGAACTGGCCTGGTTGTAAACTTCACAGGAGAAATTCATGTCTCTGCTTTCTGCAGAGCTTCTTGTCAGAGACGTTTCAGTTTCGTCGACGATGACTTCGCCATCCTGGAGCCACTTGTACTGTATGACATCATGTTGGTTTATACCATCAGGTTGCTAAAAAGAATAATGCAAACTTTATTTTTTTTTTATTAGAAAGTCACAAAGAACAACAATTAGGAAGATTTGTTATTGGTATGTTGATCTATTATTTCATTCTTCTTTTCCAGTGCAAAAATAAAATTTTTAAAATGACTCAAAATGTTACATTTCCTGCACTGTATTAAAGTCTTTCCCCCTTTCATGTAACAAAAGTTAATATTCAGAAAATATAACAGGCCCTCATATAAAACAATAAAATTTTTTGAAGAGCTGAGATCAATGACACCAGCCACACTCAGATCTGGTTCCTGTCAAACCGTTAGAATCAAAAAGTGATTTATAAAAAACCAGTCTGACAACAAAAACTGAGCTGAAGGACTTCAAAAAACATATTAAGTCCAGAACTGAACAAAATTAAAGCTCAAATGACAAATAAAGTCTCTGATAGACTGGAAAAGGTTATAAAATAATTTCGAATGTTTCTGGATTTCAGTTTGTTTGGCCAACACTCGGATCACAAAATAAAGGAATCCATGTTTCAAGGTCAAAATGACTGCTGACCAAACAAAACCTCAAAAATCCCTTCTTAGCTTTGACAATAATGCATCTTCATCATCCATAAAAGTAGGAAGAAAAATGGATGTTTGCCGTCTGCGGAAAAATACAACATCCCAAATCTCCTTACCGGATCATGACTGCAGGTAAAGACGACCTCTGAGGCCAGACAGGTTATATTTACTGTGGGCTTCTTCACGGGGTCTGAGGGGGATCAAACATGACACATTAAACTCTGACCTCGTAAAAATAGTACAGTGAGCGGCACGTTTGACATCTTCAGGAGTCACAGTTACATGAACCGATGAGTTAAAGTTCTTCAAAGCAAGACGATGAAAAAGAGTAAATAGAGGTTATTGTTGACTCAATGAGGAATATGTAACCAATTTTATACGTACCCAGTGTACATAAATTTGTGCTCTTTGTGTCCTGTTGCATTCTGTTTTTACCATGAACCTCAGCGGTGTAAAGTCCTGCTTGGTTCTTCTTCAGATTTGTTAGTTTGAGGGACCCATCATCATTAATATCATCATTTTTACCTAGAATTAATGTTACTGGTCTTTTATGAAATATTATGATGCCATTAAATCTCCACTTCAGAGAATCAGCAGGTTTTAGTTGGTATCCCAGAGGAACAGTGAAGTTTCCACCCACTGCAACAAACTGGTCACAACCTTCAAATCAGAGAGAAACATCCTTATTCACACTCGTCCGATCTGATCCTTTATATTCCTATAAAATTGAAACCTAGAAACATTAACAGGAGACATTTGTAACAGATCTGTACCTTGGGAGCCAATGGCGGAGCAGCAGAGCAGGAAGAAAGTGATGACAGACGCCAAGGCCATCTTCACCAGTGATCTCCTCACTTGTTGGAAGTTCTTCAAGTTCGTCTGCTTTCAAACGGATTAAACGCTCACGGAGTCACAGCTCAACAGAAGACTGACACTTCAAAATGCTGAGGTAGACGTATTTCTATCATTGGTTTATAACCACTTCCTCTGGTGTGGCCTAATGTCTTGCTTCACAGAAAAATTAGCGGAAAAAAAAACATTTTAACAGCCCTCCTTATTAAACACCAGGCAGTTATCATGCAGTGAAGGTTTGAGCTCTCTTTCAAGGAAGAGCAAAAATTGGCATGAAATTGTAAAACTAACTTTTAAACAGAGGAAATGTTCTCAAATTCAATTAAGAAATTCTTTATCGATTCCAAAGGGAAGCTAATTCAAAGCTTTCGTGGTTTTAATGCTGCATATCAAAAAATCATCTAATATTTACGAAATGCGCAACTGGCAAAAAGATTTGTGCAAATAACCAGACTACTGACTAGAATGTGGAAAACTACAAATAATACCCAGCATGTAAACAACGTATAGAGTTCAACAGGAGTGGTGATGGTTGCAGAGTCTAGCAGATTCAGTTCTGCTTTTGTTTGTCGTGGGAAATCATGTTAAAAGTCCAGGTCAGCACTGGTTCTGTTTCGCAAACCTTCAGAAGTTTCAAAGGATTTTCTGAACTGAATGAGGTCTAAAAAATATCAAAAGACGTTGCTGCTCTCTAGCTGCTCATATCAAAACTGTAGCACTGTCATGTGTTTATTAAATGGAATCAGTTGGAGGTTATTTGACAGCACTTAAAGGAATTACAAGTTTACGTTTGGTTTTATTTATTGCGACACAAAGTAACAACAAAAACTACCAGAAGAAAAAAAACAAAAACACAGAGACGTCAATTCATCATCATCGTTGTGAAACTCGTTTGAATAATTAAGAATAAAAACGGAATATTTCACATGGCGGGTTATACACACAAAAGTGATTATTAGCTTGATGATCAAAGTTTGCAACTAAAAAAAGAAAATCCACAGAAACTTAATGTGAACTTTTACTACGAGACTTTATGGAACTCCAGTTGTGTCCAGTAATAAAGAAACAAAGAAAGAAGGCAGCAAATGTTGGTTCCACAATTTTCTCCTGAAAATATGGATAAATAAGTCATTACACGGTAAAAGTAATTTGAACAGGGGAAAGCATATAAACAAGTCAATGACATGATGCAATCTGCATTTTTTAACTCTGATAACTTTTTTTTAACTGACAATACATTTAAATTGCTGCACTGTTCAGTAGAATGGGAATTACTTTTTTTGTAAATTGTCTCGAGATTACCAATTGTAAATTAGGGTTATATAAATCAACTGAATTGTATTATGAAAGGTTACAATTTGCCCAACGGACTGGACTGAAGAGAAATGATGAGCAATGTTTTATAGGTTGATGAAAGCAAAGATTGTTTTTTTTTTTTTAACAACAAAAGTTCATTTTTGAGGTAAAACTAAAAATATGTACATTTCTTTCCTATACATTTTCCCACATACCATAGCCTGGTGTCTGAGCAGGTGAAGGTCATCCCTTGCAATAATAAGAAGCTGTTGTCAGAAACCATGATGTTGAGTTTGACTTACGAAGCAGTTTTCAAAGACATAAGTCATAATATCCTGTTCAGCATGATTCACAGTACACAAAGTTTAAAAAGTCTAAAAACAAGCATAATAATCACCATAAAGTCATGACAAAAAAGCTTGTGAAAACATCCTTGCTCCCGAATCTGGGTCAGGAAAATAAAGCTAGAGGAGCAAACTCTTCCACAATTTAAATTTACAGATTCACAGGAAAGTTACATTTTCAACAACGCAGTACCCTACAGTACCGCCCCCCCGCCCCCCTACATTCACCCCTGCACTTTTCTATCGGTGAAGAAAATAATTGACTTTAACGTTCATGCTTTGCTGTCTGCCATATGGTATCAAAAATAAAAAAAATTGTTTTAAATCACTGATATAAGGATGAAAAATAGCTGATATAAAGATGTTGTGATGTTCCTGCTCCTTGTATCCAAACATATTTCCTACAGGGTAATACATTGTCGGAGCAGATGATCGGTTCTCTCCTTGGGATCATACGGACCCAACAGTTTTACAGGTCTCACTCTGTCCTGATTACTAGTCTTTCTCCCAGTAAATACAACCATCATCTTTATATTTTTATTTCTAAATCCTCGTTTAACCCTATTCCCTGTCTTCTCACTGTCTCACTCCAGTAGCAGAAACACTGACATTAAGAAACAGCCATCCCTGAATTGGATTATTACTAAACTTCTATCACCGCTGGATCAAATAATTATGGAATTGTACATATTCATATTTTAAAGGTATATACTTTTAGGGCTGCCATGTAGTAAAAATAAAAATTGGATGAGCTGGCTACTAGTGTCTAAAAGTCAGTCACCATGTCTTCTCATCTTTTGAAACAGCCATAAGGGAGATCAACAGTTTGACAAACAGTTTGCTTTGTGAAGCACCGCCTCACTGGGAGGGAATCGGAAGGCTAACATGCCAATCAGGTGCAAGTTGGGCGGGTTAAAGTAAGAGAAACCAGATGCTGCATTCAAAGCATGAAGAAGACCAGCAAGCAAAACATTCACAGAGTGGATGTAGTAGAATATCAGAGTACAGGAGGTACAGGATAGAAGATTTGACTGAATCAAGACGTCGTCCAGAAGTTCAGACTGGGAAGCTAACTGGAAAATTGCTAACCAAGTATGTGAAGCAGGAAAATAGGTTGTAGTTACTTAAATTTATGCAAACCAATTGCCCCAAAAGATTCAATTACTGCAACATGTAAAAGACAAGTGTAGCTACATTGTGTGATTTTGGCAAACAATATTCTTAAACTCATCCAAAATATTATTCTCTGCAAATGTCTTATATTTTCTGCTTACAGCAGCAGCAGCAATGTATTTACTACATAGATTAAAGATACATGGTGTCGTTACTTGACATAGTTGTTCTGTTCAAAACCTTTCGGTTTGCTTGAGTAGAAACGGAGTAACGTCTGTGTATGTTAAAATGTTACACATTTACCACCCAAAATCCTCACTACTATCAAATAGTTCACGTTTTATTTTATTCTAGTTGTTGCAGACTCAACCTAAATAGACTAACTTATAAAGCATCCTTTTTGTTTTTCTTTTTTAAATCCAAAAGTTCCTGCCTGCCACTTGTTTAAGATGAGTACAAACAACAAGTTGATGAAAATTACGTGATGTTCACTTGAACTGTTTTATTTTATTTTACAGTGAGAAAAGTTTAGCAGAAGGCTGGAGCCATCTGACCCTCGCTTCAAACTCAGTACCTGTTTGCTCCACGGCAAAAATTTGGTAAGATTAAATTTAGTCGGCTAAAGAAAGTCAGACGGTTCGTTCTCCAATGTGAGAAATCCCTTGAGGTAGTCAAGCAAAAGCTGTAGATAATTTTAAAGGTAACAAAACAATTTACCATGTTGTCACCAACTCTTGGAGCGTGGTGGTAGTGAGCATGTCATTTTATTCATTTTTATTTTATTTATTTTAGGTAAAGTGTACCAATAGCAAACTTAAGTCAGTGTTATTATAAGTTGGTATCAGAAGATGTAAGTAAGTCTCTGTGAGAGGGGGTACTTGAGAAAAAACAAAACAAAGATTCAGTGATTGAATTGTTGGTCGATAGCCAGCATATATTTGAATTTCTGCAACAAACATTGAAAGAAAGAAAAAAAAAACTTGAATGATCATTCAGTTTGATAAATATTTACACAGAGCATCATTCAATAAATTGATAGAAATCCAAGGGCTCACATCAAAACATCAAATCTAAATAAATCATACAAATTGTACTAAATATTTTAATACAGACTTATGGTTGACATTGATCATTTCTAAGTTTTAGTAATGGAACCTGAACAACTACAGGTGTACTATATTTTGTTAGTGAACACACTTAAGCGTGTAAGATATTGGATGGAGGGAAAGAATCATTAGGGCCAAGAAATACATACAAGCGTATAAGTCAGAGACAAAAGCTGTAGATAATTTTAAAGGTAACAAAACAATTTACCATGTTGGAGCAACACTTGGAGCGTGGTTGTGCAGTGTAAAAAAAACTTTCAACTTTGGGGAAAACTGAAAGGTAAATGTGAGTAGCCTCACCTGGGCCTGTTTAGTCCCTGACACATATTCTTAAAGAGATACAATTACACACGAGGAACTTTTACTGAAATGCATCACACTAGCAGGTGTTACAGAAAAGTATCTATAGACTTTAAAATTGAATCAACTGTTTTCGGAACGGATGAAGGAAATTACAAACTCATAGTCAGCACTGACTAGTCGTGCTACCATAAATATTGCAGTAAAACAGTTAAACTGTTGTTTTCCTTCAGAGGTATCTACCCGCTCTTATGCAGGGACACACACACACACAAATGCTTTGGTGTGCAGGGCAGAGGTCAGCCCTGCTTCCCATATAGGTTTTCTTATGTTCTGTTAAAGAGTATGATTTTTCCTTCAGAAGGATTGCCTAATGTATCCTGGGGCAGCCATCAACGGCTTCAGGGTCAGACGTCAGCCCCTCTTCCTTGCTATAGGTTATATTATATACTGTTAAAGACTATGATCCAGCACTTATCTGTAGTCAAACACCAAATAACACACCATAAGCTATTGTCTGAAGGATTGTCAGACATATCCTGCGGGTTTCTTATGCTTGAGGACAGATACACACACACGCAGCAAGACTCTGGTTTCTCTGTCTCTTATGGAACAAGAGTTAAAGGCATTTAATTCCAACGCTGTGTATCAAGAAGACAATCTGTTTAAAACCAGAGGTAGTTACAACATTCCTAATCTATTCCAACATGGTTTAGATTATAGCATATTTATTTATTCACTATTCACTTACAATTATTCTGGCTATCTGTGGGCGTTGAGTTCAGGAGGAGTTAATGGTGAGCAGATGGTCTCTGAGGGAGGTCAGGAGGTCACCAAGTTTCCATCATATATGTGAAATATGTTTTGGGGAGGGAGGTGCAGGGGGGGGGTTAATATCAATTAACCCATCGGATTAAAATTTGACAGAACGATGTCCATATACTGGTGACGAATTTCCTCCTCGGTACTCGCGCTGCGCCTCATCTGTTCAGAAAACAGAAGCAGCGTTAATCAGCAGTCAGAGGAAGGATAAGTGTGAAATAGAGCAGAGCTTTTATTTTCTA